CTAAGGGGAAACAATAGATCTTCCTTGGAGAGGGTGAAACCATGTTTCTCCTTGAAGGCTGGGATTTTGAAATTCCGTCTTACATACTTTTGGCAGTAAGAGGGTCTAGTCCTTGGAGAAGGATATCCTGCTTGGAAGAGTGGAGGGACAGAACAAGAGAGGAAGACCCCAGATGAGATGGATTGATAGAGTAACTAGGTCAATGGGGTAAGTCATGTGTTGGAATCAGTGAGACTGTCTCAGGACAGGGCAGGCTTCAGAGCTGTTGTACACAGGGTCGCAGGTGACTTGATGGCACTTAACAACAACAACAACAACGGCAGCATTAAGTCTCTGAACCTTTTGCAGGTGGCAGAAAACAATTCCGAGAAGGCAAACGATGGTCCCAGTTTTGCCATGGGTTTATCCTGGCCTGGACTGCTACCAAACTCAGACCTTTCCAGTCCACCCTCAGATCAAGTGCCATTGTTGTAGTGATTTTAGGAGTATACCAATGGGGTTCTAGTAGTACATCAATAGATGTTCTTACCTGAGAGGTCCAGCTACATCTTCCCCGAGCATCTCTTGAAAACGCCATATTTAGACACTGACTGACTGCCTTTTTCTCCATACTCTCAGTATTGAGGCACGGGCCGTGCTGTGTTTGAGCAGAAACGGGTGGATCTGAGAGCCGAATATGATATGGTATATTGCCGCATCAACCCAGGAGTTGGACTAAATCATTCAGCGGTCACCCTGGCAACATCTTACTCCTGTATGTCATAGAATTGTCTCATAGCATGGCAGTCTGTTTCTAGTATCCCTAAAGCATCCCACTAACAGTTCCTAGACCGACAGACAAAAGTTTGAATGCATGGAAGTGCTCAAGCAGGATAAAAGCCAGAAATGGAAGCCAGATCCCATTTTGAAAAAATGCCATCTCAACCAAGGATATCTGAAGGATAATAAAGAAGGAGGCCCAGACAGAGAAGGGAAGTCCCTCTAGTCACAGGATGAGTAAGACACAGAAGGGAATGGACAGGGGCCGGAACATTCTCCCAAAGTGCAGCTACACTAACTGTACTCTGTTGGACTGGGTTCCCCCATTGTATCTCTGGTACACCAGAGGCACAGATGGGACAGGGTTGTGCCAAATCATTCTGGTACCAGCTCATATTCACTGAATGCTAAACAGCTTTTCAGGCTCCTAAGTACCTCAGCATTGTTCACAGGGTCACGATGAGTCAACAACAACAACAAGAAGAAGCACTCGACAACTTATTTCATCAACTTGTTTGCTCTTCACCATAAAATTATGAGGTGGGTAAACAGTCCCATTTTAGAAATTAGAAAACTGACCTTCGGAAAAATTTACTTTTCTTAGCCAATAAATGGCAAAGTAAAGAATACAACTAATATAAATTAGAGAGCTTTCACTGGGGCTCCAAATCTGGCAGAACAGAGAGAAGCACAGGCCTGTGAGGCATGGGGTGGGGGAGAGGGGAGAAGCTCCATTTCTCTTGCCATAGAGACCTAAAAAGACACTTCTAATGGAATCTAACAGAGGCAAGCTAAAGCAAGACCAGAAACGAGGAGGAAAAGCTGAACTCTGTGAGGTTGTTTTTTCCCCACTGTCTCCAAGCCAAGAGCTGGCCCTGTTTCACCTTGTCCTCTGTGCAGCCAAGAAACAATCAAAACCCAAGTCTCATGCATCTGGAAGAGCATCTGGAATGTCTTAAAAACCAAGAGGACTGCTGCTTCAAAGCTGTGCACCTTCTTCAATTTGGGTGTTCCTAACGAGCAGATATTTTAAATATCCACTTCCTAAATCACATGCTTCTGGAAACTCTATGAACTTTGAGAAACGACCATAGTTACAGAAAGGTTTTTTTGTTCATAGGGTGGCTATGAGTTGTGCTCAGCTCGACAGCAATCAACATCAATAATCTGGACCTAACATTTTAGAGAATAGGGCAAGTGGCAAGAAACTAAGCTCTTCAAGAAAGAGCTAATTTTTTTTAACTGTTCCTTAAAAAAGTGTTTCTAAGAGGTATTCTGAGCACTTAGCTCAGTGACCTATACCTTTTGCATCTGCATATTCAGATTTAGAAAAGCATCTCCAGATTTAGAAAATGACCCTTTGACCCTGCAGCTGTCAGAGGAAGCATAGGATAGATAGATAGATAGATAGATAGATAGATAGATAGATAGATGATAGATAGATATGATAGAGACTATATAGAGATAGATAGATAGATGATAGATGATAGATAGATAGATAGATAGATAGATAGATAGATAGATAGATGAGAGATAGATAGATAGATAGATAGATAGATAGATAGATAGATACTTGTTTTGTTTTCTTTTTAACTCAGCCTTGCCTAGTCTGGCCTCTAGGCAGTTGAAGATAAATTGTCTCGAGTACCAAGCATAAAAACAATATCAAAGCATACTGGCAAATCCTCTCTACATTCAGCCCCTGTTGGCAAAACGAGGACTTGCAAGCAGAGATAATGAAGATGCTGATAAATGAGTCAGAAAAATGACCATAAAAGGAAAAATACAAAGCAGCAGTCAAAGGAATGATTTGACTTTTTATTTGAATCCAACATAGTAGGTCTTGGGTTGGAGTATTTTAGGTGATGCAAATACACAGGCTTATTAATGTTACAGGGAGTGCTGGTAGACTAGTAGGTGAAGAGTTACGCTGCTGCCAACCCAAAGGCACATGTTTTGAATACACCAGCTGCTCCTTCGGAGAGAGACCAATAATCTCCTCTTGTATAATTTGCAGTCTCTGAAAACCCACTGGAGGGTTAGCTATGAGTCAGTTCTGCATATATCAACCACTAATGCTACTCTATTAATTATGATGATAATAATGAAGATTATGATGATGATGATAATAATAATAACAACACTGCCTATGAGAGAGAAAACTTAGAGGGCTTTATCTCCCCCCCCAAGTGTTCCCACATGCATTATATAGTTGGTTCCCCAGGAGAAATGTTAAGAGAGATAAATCAATGTGGTTTGGAAAAGTTTAATGCAGTTGAATTGGGCCTAGAAAAGACAGGGTTTGAGTTTGTAGAAAGGGGGAAAGTGAACTGAGTAGTCTGAGGAGACTCAGGAGCAGTATTACTGTCCTACCATATTTTAAAGAAAGGTACAGAGAGATTTAAGTATTTATTCAAAGTAAGCAATTAAAGTAAGATCATTTAACTCTGAGTAGTAGTTGTTGTGTACCATCAAATAGGAACTGACCCATAGTTGACCTTCCAGTGGGTTTTCAGAGAGATCTGGTGGACTAGAAATGTGTACCTTTGTGTTTGAAGTGCAATGCCTTACCACTAAGCCAACACAACTTCCTTTGAGTAGGGGGTCATGGTATTGATGGGATCTCCTCTTTCGTGATGTTTGTCATAAATGAGTGTTCATTTTTCTTTTATTCATTGTTGCACATTTTATTCCTCCCCTTCTCCCAGATCACCTCACAATGCACCCCTTATTCCAGACTGTTCTCACATATATATAATTCATAATCATATACTCCATTGAGACAGTTTCCCCCCTTGTCTGTTCTAATGATAAATGAGACCTATGTTTAAGACCTATGGAAAAGAGATTACTTCATGTAGTCAGAAGATCAATAACACACAGAAGTGATACCAGATAAGACATGGTTTCTCCAAGCGAATAATCTAGTTCTTCTTTATCTATGCTCCTGGGTCTTCCCAAACCACTCAACTCATTCCCCCTTTATTTTTCTACAAACCTAAACTCTTTCTTCCAAGGACTAACTCAACTTCATTCAACTCTTGCAAACTACATTGATTTGCCTCTCTCTTAACAACCTGTGATGGGCCATGGATTCTTTTGAATTTCAAAGAACATATACAGCCATGCAGATATATATGTGTCACACACACACACACTTTTGAGTATGTGATTTGAGTACTCAGGATAATTTGAAGAAGGGATTACTTCTCAAGGCCAAACAAAGAAAATCTGGGAAGTAAGCAGATTGCATATAGACTTTCCCTCCTCCTTTGACTTTCACCCACCCTCCTCTTGCAAGTTTCTCTCCAAGACTACTCATCCTATTCCATAGCCTCATGCTACCCTTGGTTACACAGGGCTTGTTATACCATGACCCTTCTCCACCAAGCTGAGGAATCTCATTCTACTAAGACTAAACTTGATCTCAATACTAAGTTTGACATTTAACTGTAGATCAATTAGGACATGCATTTGAACTGGAGTCTTCCAGAAATAATAATCAAGGAGATATTTGAGGAGGAAAGCCCTTTTAGAGGCAGTACTGATTTCACCTATGAGGCCCATTCTTCTCTACCCTGTTGTTGTTAAGTACCATCAAGTTGCTTTCTACTTATAGTGACCCTATGTACAACAGCCTTGAACCCTGCTCTATCCTGGGCCAACCTCAGTGTCTCCAACACACCTATGCCCATTACCTCAGTCACTGAATCAATCCATCTGATCGAGGGTCTTCCTTTCCTGCACTGTCCCTCCACCCTCCCAAGCATGATGTCCCTCTTCAAGGACTAGTCCCTCCTTGCAACATGCCCCAAGTATGTCAGATGATTCTTCAGAATCCTCGTCTTGAAGGAGCAGCCTGGTTTCACCCTCTCTAGGACAAACCTGCTTGTTCTTCTAGCAGTCCATGGTATATTTAAGACTCTTCTCCAGCACCACAGCTCAAAGGCATCAACTCTCCTTTTATAATCCCTAGTCATTGTCCAGCTCTCTGAGACATCTCTTCCCTAGAACACATCATATATTTAATGTTGGCCTACACAGAACTGAGATAATATGCTATACCTGAATATGAAGAGAAAACAAAACCCAAGCGACTAAGATGATGATCTTCACTCAACAGCTCTCTTCCCATTCTTAATCTGAAGTTGTCATTGGCTTAGTAGTTCCTCAGACATGAACCCCAACAATTTCCAGTCAAAACTACCAAAAAAGGAACAACTTAGGAAAAAAGTCCTTACGGAAATTGGCTGCGTCTCCTTTTGGAAGAAGAACCACTGGATGGTAAGCTTGTCCCTGGAGGCCACAGTGGTTGTGTAGATACAGATGAGAGTGACATCTGAGCCAACAGTCACATTGACAATACTGTTTGGGATGGTCACTTGTATCATAGTACCTTTACCTGAAAAGAGAATAATCAAATGTCAGTAGGATACATATTTCTGATGTGATGTTTTCCTTATTATTATAAAGCACTTTCAACAACATCTGGCTTAAGGAATCCAATGTGAAGAAAAGATAGAATAAACCATATAGGAAATTGGAGTGAGCAGTAGAGAATAGGGGTTGATTTTGTTGCTGTGTATCATCAGTCAGAACCAACCCATAGCCAACCTTCTGGTGGGATTACAGAAGTAGTAAATTGTACGGGAGGAGACTGTCCATCCTTCTCCTGCAAAGCAGGTGGTGAATTCGAACCAGAGGTCCCACCAAACTATAAAGATATTCAAACGTTATGTGATGATGAAGTAATACTACTAAATTGGGAATTCCTTCTGTGTAAGGAAGGACTTGCACTGAGGTATTCAAAGAGTTTCAAGGGACCAAGTAAAGAACTCAACTACAGTGAACACCTATCTCAGTTTGTCCAAGACAGTGGATTCCAGGGGTGTGAGATTTTCAGTTTTAATACTAGGGAAATCTCAAATTTTGTTAGAATGTTCAGTGCTAAAGCCAGGAATGTCCTAGGCAAATTGAGATGAGGTGGCAAACCTAAGACTATTTTAGAGGCTGTAAATGTGCAAGGAGTTGGAGTCAGAAAATCAAAAGGGCAGAACTCGCTCAGCATATCTTAAGCTCAAGGAACTGAAGAACAAATTCAA